TACCCAAACCTAACTAATGATAGTTCGTCAGTCATCCTTTAAGCAAAAATAATAGCAATTCAGTTCATAACTCAAACAGTAGTACAAGTGCTTTTCTAGAAATAACTGTCCAGTTCAGTATACAGAAGCAGTGCTTTATGTATACCTCCCATTTTCTCAGCACAGTATTAAAAAGACATTTCTTTACATGCTACTAATAGAACCCCTTTTAATAAACTTAAGCCCAAGGGTCAAGATGAAAAATTTAAAATTAGTCATTTTACTGCTTCATCAAGGACATTTTAAAGTGAGAGAAAAACACCTCTTTAACGTGTGGCAATAAAAAATACAAATAACTAGTGCTGTTTGGTGCCACTGCTTTGATTCATGCTGAGATGCCAGGAGTTTTATTCACCTACTGTTACTTTTGTGCCATCAGTGCAAATATCAACATAGTAAAAAGGTGAGTGATGTCTTAATATCACAATGAAAAAGGTTTTGTTTTACCCTTAGTGATTTTTTGGAAAAGGTCCTGGGAACCCCTAGCAGTCACAGACCACACTCTGAGCATCACTGTTGTGTGTTATATGGGTATTTAGAGGAGTTATCCAAAAGGAAATATTTTGAGGTTGCATATTTTTGATACCTTAAAGGATATGTATTAAGCCCAATTACTCTTAACAATTTAACATAACAAAAATAATAAAACATTTAACATAAGATTATATTAAAATCTTATATTTTATGTAAATACTGTAATATTACAAATCCACTTTACCAAAGCTGTATTATCATTGTTAAATTGGTCAGTAAATGAACAGGAACTTGTTTAAATATGTTATGTTTCTTTATTTTTACCCCAAACTCATATCTTTTTATCTGAATTAGCAAAAGGGTCTTAGGGTTAGTCACTAGTGAAACATGGTCTGGAGGTGGCTCCCCTAGTTCCAGAGGGTCCTCTTAAAATTGGCAAAGGTACAGATCTGAACTAGAAAGATACTGGAGTATCATCATCATCATACTAGTAAAATACTCACTTCATTATCATAGTGATTTATTCTTATGGTACCCAGGTGTTTCTCTGTTCACTCAAATAGTACTGTGATGAAAACTTCTCATAACTAAGCAGTAAACTTGTTCTTGGGATCAGTCTGTCTACCCAGCCAGGCCCAGCCAAAGAGTTCTGTGCTTACTGACTGAAGTCCATAGAGTGTGAGGGGTGTGGGGCCTTGTAGTGAGATCCTTAATGACACTAAGTCAAGGCTAAGTCAAGTAGTACTGATCACTAGGAGGCTCAACTTTCCGTGCTCCGCTACTCAAGGTGTGATGCATGAATGGTTCCAGTCTGCTAACTGGTCTGAGTGCAGAGGTAAAATACCATACTGTGTCCTGAAGGAGCTCACAATACAAATGGAAAGTAGATAAACACTGACAATTCAGTGTGGAAATGTTGAGAAGAGGGTGCTTAGGAACACAGGAAGGGTACCCAACTCAGGGCGGGAGGATGAGTCAGGAAAGGTTTTTTGTAGAAGATAATGAATGATTGGACTGAGTTTTAAAGGAGGAACCAAAAAAATGAGGGGGAAGTACATCTCAGGCAATGAACAACTAAATGCGATTGTAATTATATAAGCTGCAGGTCATTAGGGTGAGAACTAAAGAAATGGGGAAGATGAAATAGAGGAGACACGTTCTTGAGATCCTAACGGTGTAACAGGATATGTTTGCAAGATTTGGGGGTCATGTTATCCATTACCACGTATTGCTTTACTCACTGTGTTGCAACCATGCTGACCTTTTAGTTCCTCAGATATTCCAGGCTCATTCTTGACTTGAGGGCTTTGCAGTGGTTATTCCTGCAGCCTGGAATGTATATCCTTCTCCCCCAACCCCAAGATCTTTGAATGGCTGGCTCCTCTTCATTCTGGTTCCAGTTCATCTGTCATTACTTTAGGGGCCTTTCCTGACTGCTCTATTTTACAGTAACCCCTCTAGCCCCTCCCTTACATTCAGGACATCACTCAACCTTGTTTTATTTTCTTCACAGTACTTGTCACAATGTGTTTACTCTCTGTCTAGGCATGAGAGCACCATTTTATTCTCAGGCGTACAGGTGCTCAAAAACTATTTGAGTGAAAGGTTTTTGAGTGAATAAATGGGTAGCATTATGGAACTGAGTTGAGCAAGTTCGTTATACAAATGGCTTTTTGGGTAGAAAAGATAAAGAACGTTTCACGTGGAAACACAGCTTCAGCCAAAGCTGTTATCAAGGCCAGCCAATGAGGTTGATCAGAATCAGGAAGCATATATGCTTTCCTAAAGTGTCTAGTCTCTTAAAAACTACAATCAAAATTATAAAAAGTTCAAACTAACACCTTCCTAACCTAGATGCCTTCAAAAGTTAAAGTCTTGTATAACACCCAACAACATCATTAAAGAAATTCTTCTTAAATTCCTCTTAAAGTAATGGAATAAAGCTTAATTCACATATTACCTAGAAATAATCTAGATCCCTAGAACTTTTAATATAATTCCGAATGCCAACAAAACCTTTGAATGTTTACAGTTTTCACCATCTAGGATTAAAATATTTAAATTTATTTTATCATTGTATTTAAGACGGGTTTTTTTCTTGTAAACTATTTCATTAATATTTACGCCTCAAGATCTGGGGCATTACAATGAAAAAAATACATAGCCTGTGGGATTTGTGAATCAGGTGATTCCTGCCTGGCAAACTGCACATAAAATAAGATTTTTTTAAAACATCACATAAAATAAGAAAATATATATATATGCATTTATTGCTGAATTATGGAAACCTTTATTATTATGAAAAAGAATATTACCGTGGTATTCCTTTCAAACTATTTATCCATTTATTTTTATCCATGTTTTTTCACTATATTGTTTTTCTCCTAAATTTAGAAAAGAAGTACAGGCCATTTACAAGGCCACTGAACAAACACATAGTTGCCTTTTGAGGACAAACCTACCTAAATGCCATGGTGTTATTTAATACGTTAACAGTTTGTCCAATAAGCTGATCACCTACCTGGCAATACATACTTGGTATCTCCATGGAAATTTTATTCTGTAGTGTAACTCAGCATCTTCTTGTTCATGGTTCTTACATTAATAATACTTGTGTTTTATTTTTAAGTTGGCTATATGTAAAAACAAACTTGTCAGACTATTCTTGAAATACTACATATAAAATACCTGGCCCAGGCCTCTCACTCTATAAGAGTATAAGTTGTTAGACTCTTCAACCTTCTTCTTAGTATTTTATATTCAGTTGTATGTTATATTTCAAAATACAGATGAGAAGAGATATATTCTGTTTATTCATTATATGTGATGAAAAGTAGAAGAAAATTAAATATACTTTCCTGACCACAGTCAATAAACACAGTAAGCCAGGAGATTAGAGCAATGAATATGGGTATACAGTTCTATTCAGGACAAAGTTTTAAGCTCTGGTTACTGTCACTTAGCTAAAAAACTAAGATTACCCAAAACAGTTTAGCGCTGAAAAATCTAAACGTTAGTAAGCTAGACAGTGGTTAACGTAACATACATTTCTGTTCATTCATTCATTTACCAACGAGGCACTGTTTTGGATACAGCAATGAACAAAGTGGACAAAAACCCTTGCCCTCATGGAGGTTACATTTTCATGAGGAAAACAATAAGCAAAATAAATTAGCTCAATGGGTGATAATGATTATTTGATGATAATGACGATAGTACTAGGTAATTCTTACTAAGGGTGGTCTGTGTGCCAGGCACTGGCCCCAGTGTTTTGCAAATATTAATTCAATAATTGTCTGAAAATAGATATCACTCTATCTCCCATGTTATAGATGCAGAAGCTAGGCATAGAGATTAAGCACCTTATCCAAGGTCATACAGAAAGTAAAGCCAGAACTGAGATTTAAACAGTTTAGTTCCAGAACTAGCACTTTTAACCATTACATATTATTACATACTGCTTGTACTAAGTGTGAGAGGAGGGAGATAGCTACACTGGACTTAGAGTAAGCATTATGAAACTACCTAAAAAAATTGTAAATGAAGAGATTTAAGAAACTCATACATGGAACATTTTAAGTCATCTATATAATGCACCATAAACAACTTCCCCACCAACAAATGGGAAGGTACCTATGGCAGATCAAGAGCTAATTTCCTTAGAATGCAAAGAACTCTTACAAACCAATTAGAAAAGAGTTACTAATCCAATAAACATGGACAAAAAACATGAACAGGCAGGTGAAAGATTAAGAAATACACACAGACCAAAACATAGGAAAGGATATTTAGGGTTTTTTCTTTTTTGCATATTTAAATATATTTAAAAGTAGATCTAGATAAATCATTAAATTTAATAATGACTAATAGGGAGACAAGAGTTATAGGGCTAATTAGAAGTGGCAAAAAGGCAGCTCATAGATGTGCATGGAAGTTGTAGTTTGAGAGCATACCAGCCAAGGTTCTAGGAGACAATTAAGCCCTACAGAAAATGGTTTGAGCGACCATTTTTCTCAAGGGTGATTTGTAGCTAGTACATTGTTGATGCATCAATGAGAAGTTAATTCATTACATACAATGGATGCCTTAGGGTATTAACATTCTCTCTTAGAATTTCTGTTGAGAAGGTCTGGTTATTAGGATTGGAAATAATGACAGTACCTTTAAGAGACTTATCAGGAGAAACCCAGAGAGAATATTTTGAAAATTGTATGAAAAGGGTAAAGGGCAAAAAATTAGGGACCAAAGGGGAGGTATGAGAGTCAAATGTGGTCAGTGTTCATTCTTACTGTAGGTTAATTTTCAGGAACTCACCTGGGTCTTACCTAACGCAATTTAAAAAGCTACATGTGAGTATTCAATTAAATGATGCGTAAAAATGTTAAAATTTAAGATTTTATTATTTCACTAAAAAACAGTTTATGATACAGCAAGAAAATAGACTCCACTATGCTATTTGTAATCCTGACTATGTATTTTATTTCTAGGGAACCTTTTATTATTTTATCAGGAGGTTTGTCATACGATACTGTAGGAAGAAGACCTTGCTTAACAGTTATGCATGGGAAAAGTACTGCAGTGCTAGAAATGGACTATTCAATTGTTGATTTCCTGACGCTGTGTGAAACCCCATACCCAAATGGTAAGCTTTGTGTCTTTAAAGTTCATTCTCTATAGGTATGTTATTCAGAACAAAGACCTATTTGTTATCTAAGTAGTTTCCTTATCCTGTTGTGCCAGTTCTTCCGTGGGAGAGATGCTGCCTTCATAACTTTGTAAATTTTATTTGAGAAGTAAATTTTGTTTTTAAACTGTATCTGTTTAATATTACCTATTAGTAGTAAGTGCCTTTGAAGAATAAACAAAACTGTCCACATTAAGAAGCATTTAAAAATCCTCTAAATTACTAATGTATTAGTTACAGTTCTCAAAAAAAACAGAACCAATAGGAGATTTTAGAGAGAAAAAGAGAGCAAGAATATGAATTTATTTTAAAGGAATTGTGAAAACTTACTGCAGACTGAAAATTCAGGAAAGAGTTTGATTTGCAGTCTTGAGTCTGAATTCTGAAGGCTGGAAACTCCAGCACGTTTCTGAGTTGCCATCTTGAGGCAAATTGCATTCCCCCCCCCCCCCCAACACCTCCTGTCTTTGCTCTTCAGGCCTTCAACTGATTGGATGAGACCCACCCACATTATCTAGGATAATCTGCTTTACTCAGAATCTACTAATTTAAATGTTAGTCACATCTAAAAAATACCTTCACAGCAACATCTAGACTGGTGTTTGACCAGACAGCTGGGCACCACAGTAAAGACAAGTTAACACATGAAATTAACCATTACAACTGGCATGTTATTATTTCAAGAGGAATTTATCTGGATCTTTTTTTACTTTATTTGAAGCTAATTGAGATATAAATATGTAATGCATTTTATAATTAACATGCACATAGAAAATACCCAAGAAAGAGATTATAATATTATAGTAGTACTGTAGCAGGTTCCTGTGAGATCCAGTATGAGTTGTTCTTATGGGTATTAAGATTAAAATTTAGGGTTTGTTGTTCATGTCCTGCCTTGGACTTTGCAATACCATGGAAGGTACTGTGAGCTTCTTGTCTAATTCATGTTTACAGAATAAATAATTTTTTATGGGGTGTTATATAGATTTATCTCATTTAAAACATACTGGCCTTGCATTGTATGAAGTATAATATCAGAATGTTAAATACTTGAGAGAATGGAACAAAATAAAATAAAAACTAAGCAAGAAATGTTTGTTATCTCATTTGCTGTCCTCTCGCATATTTAAAACTATTGTTCATGCATTGTTTTCCTATTCCAGATTTTCAAGAACCATATGCTGTGGTTGTTCTACTAGAAAAGGATTTAGTACTTATAGACCTTGCACAAAATGGGTAAGAAATAAAATTTGGTGAGCAATTACTTTAGTGTGTGGTGAAAAAAAGAGTCTTTTTAGCATAGGATTGGCTGTTTCATTTCTTTGAAAATGCTACATTTATATCCATAACCTGGACCTCTGTTTAGAACTACAGATAAACATTTCTCATTACCTGCCAAATTTCTCTGTTATGTTACTCATAGAAATTTCCTGTTTAAGTCAAAATTTGTTGAATTTCTGAAATTTCGTATGATTCAACTTAATACTTGGATACTCTGGGGGCACACAAAATCAGATATGTCCAAAATTCATCCCCATCACAGCTTTCCTCCAGATAAACTCTTGTAGTCTCTCCACCCATATTCACTTTCTGTTGCCGTGTATCATGAACACTGTCAGGTAATTTTACATGCAACCCCAATCTTGTTACTCTTTTCTTTAAACCACTATAGTCCTCTATTGGTTTTTTGTGTAATAACAGTTTCTCGGCCTGCTACTCTACACTGAAGGAATTAAGGGTACGTTTCCAACCTGGTGCCTGTTTGCTAGAAAAACTGAATGGTGTATTAAACAAACACCACACTTCCATGTCTTTTCTTATGTAGCTCCCAACAGCTGAAGCATTCCACTTGCTTCACTGCCATCAAAAATCCACATAACTTTCAAAGGCAGCCTCTTCAAGCTTTTCTTATTCTCTCTTAACCAGATATATCATATCTGATCTATAAATTCTCACCATCGCTCCTTTGCAACTTTTTGTGGTATTTCCCATATTCTTCTTGTTCGTAGATGATAGTATGTTTACTTATAAATTTTTTGAATGGAAGAACATTGTATTACTTATTTGTATTTCTTGAGAGATAATCATTAAATATAGTTTTAAATGAGTTTACCCATTCAATATTTCAGTGTTTCTCAACTGGGGGCAATTTTGCCCCCCAAGAGATATTTGGCAATGTCTGTGTAGACATCTTCTGTTGTGGGGAGGGGTGCTACTGGCATCTAGTGGCAGAGGACAGGGATCCTGCTAAACATCCACAATGCACTGGACAGTCCCCATAATAAATTATCTGATCCAAAATGGGAATAGTACTGAGATAGGGAAACCCTAAAGTGTAAGTGAACAGTATTATTTACCTTACTTTAAGGCATTCCTAAATTCACATCAACTTAGTGTATGCTACCTGTAATAATGAATTTTTTTTCTTCTTGAAAATTACAAGACCATGTGGAACAAAGGATAACTCATTATTAAATAAGTTTAAATATTTTTTTAAGTTTTCATTGTTGTATTAATCATAGGTAGTAATTCATTAAGTTAATATTTTTCTTTTCCTGTTGTTAAAGGTATCCTATATTTGAAAATCCCTACCCTTTGAGTATACATGAATCCCCTGTTACATGTTGCGAATATTTTGCTGATTGTCCTGTGGACCTTATTCCTGCACTTTATTCTGTTGGAGCTAGACAGAAACGTCAAGGTTACAGCAAAAAGGTACTGAACATGAGTTTTAGTAACTGCTGTTACATTTCAGTATTTTATATTTATCACTTTGGAGTGGTTGATAGTGATACCTTTTCTAGAGAAATTAAAATCCTTTTTGAATATGAAATATGTTGTGTACTCTTGTCATAGATGTATTCTGAAGATATATAGTATCCTTGGAAATGGCTTTATACAATAATCTTTTCTTATAGGAATGGCCCATTAATGGAGGCAATTGGGGCTTGGGTGCTCAAAGCTACTCAGAAATAATTATTACAGGGTGAGTAAAAGTCCATTTTCACCTAATGAATCGATAATAACTAAATATGCTTAAGACTACATGAAAATTAATTGGCAGGTAGTGCTTGCAGTAACATAATAAGAAATAAGTTATTGTCTAGAACCTGCCAGTTTACCCTAAATTTTACCTTTTTCCTCATTTTGGTGACTGTCTTTTTAAGTAACAATGTATTTAACTTCAAAGAGAGAAATAATGTAATTTTTTTTTCTTCAACACATTCTTAACTCATTTGCTTTTCACAGGCACGCTGACGGGTCAGTTAAGTTCTGGGATGCTTCTGCGAGTAAGTATTCTGAATCGTGTTTGTTACATGCTCTACAATCATTGCTTTTATATAGCCTGTTTTGTAATGATTGCATAACCAACATTTAATTTGAAATTTAGAGACTATAAATTTAATACCTGACTTATCAAGTATATGAGTTTAGAATTTATAATAAATACATTTTAAGGATGTTAATTAGTAAGTCAAGAATAATTTTCAGCAGAAATACCCAAGTCCTTTCTTCAAACCTTCTCTTCCTAACTCAGAGATAGGAAAAGTGGGCATATGTTTCAAATCAACAGAAATCTGCTGAATAATTTTAATACCTGATTCCAAACTTATCTTTGCAAAATATATATGGTCGCTACATTAGCAAAAAAGGAAAGAATGCTTTGAGTGAATAATGTTTGCAATTAGAATCCAGTTCACTGAGGGTATATTATGTTTCACCATGTAGAAGTGTTAGATAATATTGGTACCTTTCAGAGAGAAAATATATAGAAAATAAATCTGCAAAGCAAAATATGTGCCTTATTGTTTTTATTATATTTATGCAATTGTTTTTTACAAAATCTTTTTGTTATTTTTTTCAGATAATTTAAATCCATCATAATGGTGATTTTTTTTTTTCTTTTTAATGAATACAATGAGTACACGTTTTTTGGTCAGTGAGTACAGTGAATGCATTATGTAAAAGAATAGTAGAGAAATGTGGACCTAGGGATAAACTGTGGTTCAAAAAATATAGTTTATTTTCCCTATGTGGTATGACTGATTAAATATTACCTAATATTTGTTCTTTTTATATTAAGATATCATATTTTATCTTCTTTTTTAGTAAATCTACAAGTATTATATAAATTAAAGACGTCTAAAGTATTTGAAAAGTCAAGAAATAAAGATGACAAGCCAAACACAGACATTGTAGATGAAGATCCGTATGCCATTCAGATCATCTCCTGGTGTCCAGAAAGTCGAATGTTGTGCATAGCAGGAGTTTCAGCTCATGTCATTATTTATAGATTCAGCAAACAAGAAGTGATTACAGAAGTCATTCCGGTAGTAGTCTCTTAATTAGTTTCAATGTCAGATATCTGACATCTTAAAGTTTTAGAGTTATTTAGGAGGTTCTTTGCAGGCACTTTTAAAACACCTCAGTATTTACATTGCCATCTATCTTCTGTGACAGAAAGTCATATTTCTTTGTATATCTTCTTACTGAACATTTAAATCTTTAAATATATTCTGTTTCATTTAAGGGAAGCTAATATAAGTATGAACATACTCTAATTTAGTATTAACAGGAGAGCCGTAAATTCTAAAATCATAATGCATGTGTGCGTATACTTGCACACATGCACACGATCATTTTTAAAAAGCTGCGTCAGGAACCTTTTTTCCTTTGCTAAATCCTTACCTTTAGAAATCTCACTAAATTTTTCCTTTAAAAGTGTTCTTTCCTCTGTAGTGTACGTGTGTGTATGTATAAACTGTAATAAAATGAACAGTAATTATTAGGAGAGGGTAAACTTTTTACTTTTACAACAGATGCTTGAAGTTCGATTGTTATATGAGATAAGTGATGTGGAATCTCCAGAGGGTGAACAGGCACCACCTTTGCCAACACCAGTTGGGAGTGCCAATCCTCAGCCCGTTCCTCCTCAGTCTCATCCTTCTACCAGTAGCAGTTCATCTGATGGGCTTCGTGATAATGTCCCTTGTTTGAAGTAAGTTATCTAAAAGTACAGGTGTTTTGGAAGTTATCTTTTAATTTAGATAAATTGTAAGCATTCGTAAAGTGAAGTAACATCTTCCTGTGATGGAGTACAATGACATAACCACATCTCTTTTTGTGTTTCGCCGTGGTTAATTCAACTCTTTTTTTCTGTGGCACCAAGAGAAATATGATTGCATTCCATGATTTTATCCTGGAAGTACTAAGATTTGATCTCTAAACATACTGGTAGATGAGCATGGATCTTTCCTCTATATAGAGCTTCGTCTTCTAAATCCGTCATTGTTTTTTAGTCTGGATTTATATGTGGATCAAATGTATATTTAGGCTGCTTTCTTCCACTCTGAAAATTCTGTTTTTTCAGTCTTTAGAGATTCAGTTGTTGGGTAATCATTTTCTTGTCTTTTTCTGAATCTTCTGTAGCATCACAGTATCATTATTTAAATGCCTTTATTGTGGAAATCCAGATTTGAATACATTTTGCTTTTTTACAGGAATAAATTGGACAAAGTTTAGTTTTCCTTTTTTTCTGTCCAATTTATATTATTGAGTGGTTAAATTTTGTTAAGCATACGTGCCTTAAATATGGCACAGAAAGAAAAGAGGAAAGAGTTAAAATCATTGAAGGAGCTCATGAAGACTTATTAAAAGTATTACATTTACAGAGAAGTCGGTTAGGGCAGTGACTGAAAACTGGTCGTGGAAAATGTCAGAGATTCAATACAAGAGTGGGGGACAGAAACCAGGCTGTAGTAGGTTCAAGCTGGGGCCGGTGGCGAGAAAGACAGTTTGCATTTGTTAACAGAACCGGGCTTTATACTGTTTTGGCTTTAGATCTGCTAGAATCTTTTATTGGTGAATGGTTCAGCAGTTCCTGTGGAGAATATCTGTGTAATCAAAACTGCATTCACCCCAGAGATAAGGCAGATTGGTTTATGTGACAATCACTTGTGATATAAATCTATAGAAAAGTAGAGTTTGGTTTTTTTTAAATCTGCTTTATATGTTTACATGAATTTGAGGTTGTGTGTTCTGTGCCAGTGGTTCTCAAACGGGGATGACTTTGCTCCTCAGAGTGTGCTTGGCAATGTCTGCAGATATTATTTGTCACAACGGGAAGAAGGGGTGCTACTGGCATCTAGTGTGTAGAGGCCAGGGATGATGCAAAACACGCTACGGTGTGCAAGACAGTGCCCCACGACAAAGAATGACCCGGCTCAGAATGTCAGTAACGCCAAGGATGAGAGACTGATCTGACCTAACGAATATAAGCATTGAGGTTAAGCACCTATCAGTACATTCTCAGAAAGGTCTCAAGTTTCTCCTCCCTCCCCCTCCCCCTCCCCCTCCCCCTTCCTTTCTCTCTCAGGTATATATACACACACCTCCTTTCTGCTACAGTCTGGCATATGTTTAGATAGAATGAGACTTGGTAATAAAAGAATTCTACATCTTTCCCTTTTGTTACTTATTCTGTACTACTTTACTTTAAACTTAAATTTGTAAAAGTTTTGTTAATGTCATTTCTTCTGATTTTAATGTGTATTTCTCCTGCTTTTTGTCAATTTAATTTTTATAAGCATATAAAGTACAATTTGTCTTTGAGGTTTATTTTGGTAACGTATTTCTGGTAACAAGTTTGAGATTTTTGTCTAAAATCCACACATTCACTCGTGACTTTTTAAAATCATAGGCAATTTGAGTTATATTTCTTTTTTTTAACCATTTTAATAGTTTTCAGGTTAATGCAGTTATTTATTAACTTCATATTGTTTTAGTCCACAATCTCAAAAGCCAGTTTTTAAAAGTCATAAATATAGCTAAATTGATGTGAAAATAACTAATACTTAGATGTTTTTTGTTTGTTTTTATACAAAATGTTTTTGTACATAATTGGGTTGGGGAGTTGTTTTTCTTTTTTCCTATTGAAGTCTAGTTGATTTACAGTGTTGTGTTAATTTCTGCTGTATGGCAAAATGATTCAGTTATACATACATATATATATATATTCTTTTTTTAATATGTTTTTCCATTATGGTTTATCATAGGATATTGAATATAGTTCCCTGTACTATACAGTAGGACCCTGTTGTTTATCCACTCTATATAGAAGAGCTTACATCTGCTAACCCCAGCCTCCCACTCCATCCCTCCCTGTACAGTAATTGTTTTTCTGAAGAAACATTTTAAAAGCAGCTATTCAATTTACTTCTTTTACCAATAAAATTTTGGTTTTATTTAAGTATTTTAGTTGTGCTTTTGCAGGGTGTTAGTCCAAAGCTACAAATTATTTTGAAACTACAAAGCCTCCAGACATTATTTTGACATTTAAAATACATTTGTGCAAATTACAGAGCTTTTTATAAAAGTTCAACCCTTTATCTTTAAAAAGTAAACAAATTAATTTGTATATATTAAAAATATTAAAAGGGTAACTTGCATATAGCCATTGTAGACATTAAACGTAACGCCCACCCAACCCCCATTTTGTATTTTTAAAATCTAACATATTTCATCAATTTCTTGATTCGGTTTCTAATTTTTTACCAATTGGGGATTTTTCAGCAAGTTTGACTTATCTTTGCTTTAGAACTCTTTTGTTCCTTGAAACTAAGTAAAATAAGAATCCCATGACTTCTGTGTGTCTTCATCACTTACATCTTAAATGTGCCCGTATAGGCACTTCTAAAATTATCCCTGAATGCCTGTTTCTGCTCTTGAGAATCTAATCTAATGTGCACATTAAATATGCCAGAGGGAGGGTAGACACTTCCTTGAACCTTATCTAATTCATACAGGGAGAAAATAGCACACTCAGACCTACAGGCTGTGCTTACATCAACAGAGGCTGTCTCTGGTGGAGGTGAAATGCCACTCAGTCTTTATTTTTGTCTTTCAAGAGGGATGGCTGTAGCCAAGCAGTGGGTGTTTCCCTGAGGGAAATCAAAGCTTCTGCATCAGCCAGTGTACTGTTCTGAGTGTATTAACTTGAAGACTTTGCACAGGCAGATGTGACCGCAACTCAGTTTGTTTTAGGGGTACCCTCGGTGATTCACGTTTACTCTGAAATTTGGGCAACATCCTGACTGTTTTCTTACCTAGAGTGAGTCTAGCAAGTAGGACAGCAAAAAGTCTGGTGTCATGGTGTTCTTCACTAGAAGCACCAAGTAAATGATCCAAAGGGTTCTCTGAGTTTAGTGTCAGGAGACTGAACATCGAATAGACTTCCTGCTGTCCTTCCTTTATACACTCACTCCAGAGCAGAAGCCCCAAGAATTGTTGGAGTAACCAGGCTTTATATATGTTTTGCAAGAACAATTACTGGAGAGAGTCTATGCAATCAAAAATGTTCTCACTTTAAAGTAAAAGTAGATTTCTTTTTAATAGTAAAAGTAGTCACAAATAAATTGCTCACATTTTAAAAAAATTTTATCTTCCAAAATCACTTGAAGTTTGCAAGTATGACAAGGTATTATATCTAAGTAACTTTATTCCTTAGAAAGTCTCACATTTATAAACCACCCCCCCTTCACTCCCTCTAACATGCTTATAACAAATTTAACCAGTATAAGTTTTGTATGAACTCACTCAGTACAAGTGAGTATAACTGTTTGCTGAATAGTTCACTTGAAGATCCTACCTCAAAGTTAACCACATCTTCCTCTAAAACTGGCTCTTCATCTTGACATCTTTTATCTTTCTTTTTTTCTTTTTTGGAACTTAGAATCACTGTCTTCTTTTTCTCCCCTCCTCTATCTCTCATCAGCCTCCAGCTCATTCATTCATTCAGTAAATATTGAGTACTGCCTCTGCCGGAATATTAAAAGTAACTGCAAGGTGTCTACTTTAGTGGAATTTACGAGCCCTTTTGAGAACTTACCTCATGTGTTTGAAATCTACCTTATTATTTCGCATCACAACGATCACAGGAACTTCCGCATGGGTCTCATTGTACTTTGTCTTGCATGCCTCTACGGTTAATCTTTCCAAAATATTTCTTATAAATCTTCACTGGCTTTTAATACTTTAATAATGAAAATGTATTACTTTTGTATAATCTGACCATTGACAAAACTCTTTCATAGGCACTCACAGTGCTGTCATACTGTGATTAGGTAATATTATTCCCACTTCTAGACAGGAAGACAACTAGTAAGTGGCAGAACCAGGACTCAAACTCAACCAAGACTCAAACCAACATCAAACCTTTGCAGCTAGACCTCAAAGACCCTGGAAAGTCTGGCCCTGGCCTGTCTCGCTATAGTGATTTTTTTTTACTGTTACTACACACACCTTCCACTGTGACCAAACTTAGACACTGGTTAATTTTTGACTATGGGTTTTCCTACTTCTTTATCTTGTTGGCATATTTTTTGCAAAAGCAATTTTTTTAACACTATGCAGCAGTTATTAGGGGAAGAGTCTGCAATCAAAACTACTACCAACTCAAAGTCAAAAAAGATTTTTTTTCATAGTAAAAGTGGTTATACAAACAAAAATAAATTGCGCACATTTTTTATACTTTTTCCTTAACTCCTTATGTTTTGGTCCAGTTTTCATTTAGTTATACCATACCTTTTTCAAGTTTTAAGCCTACTTTTCTAACTTGGATTTTTTTCTCTAACTTGATTTTTTTCCTCTTAATACCTAAGTGGCTGCTTCTCTGCATTCTTCTCCCCATCCTTCCCTATTCTTCTTTCATCCCTCTCTACCCACTCCTCCCCTTCTCCCCCTTCCCTTCTCCCCTCCCTCCCCAGTTTATATGTGGAGCTTACATATAATTTCTTATTTTTGTGATTTATCTAGGTGTCTCATCTCCAACTAGACTAAATGATTATAGAAGACAGGATTCTGATTGTGACATTTTTTATATTTTACAATTTTATATATAAAGTTATTTTTTATATAGTTATGTATGGGTGACTTTATAATTACATAGGCTAATAAGATAATTGAAGAGGTAACATGTTAACAGGTAACATGCTTTCCTTTCTTACAGAGTTAAAAATTCTCCACTTAAGCAGTCTCCAGGTTATCAGACAGAATTAGTTATTCAGTTGGTGTGGGTGAGTGGAGAACCACCGCAACAAATAACCAGTCTGGCAGTTAATTCTTCCTATGGATTGTGAGTATAATTTCTGTGTTTCTCGGTCTCTTCATCGTATTCCATGCATTTTTATATTTTTAAAAACAGAATGATCTTTATTATAGTATCACTTAAAAAGATGTTGTATAACTTTAATTTCAGACCAAACTCAGTGTTTATTTGGAACATAGTTCTGTTTTGAATAATTTACTCTGGATATGCTTATACTGCTTCCTGATTTAAAGTTAAATACCTTATGGACCAGTGAATCTATCCTCTCCTGGAAGTACTCTGAGAAATAATTTCCTTGTTAATGTTTGGTGTAATGAAGGTCTAACAACATCAACCCAGAAGACTATGTTCTAAATTGATTCTATAAATGTTGAACCATAGCTGTATAATTTGTTCTTTCTCCTTCCATAGTTAACTTGTGTAAATTGTAAAGGCATAGTAATAGTTAAGTAAAGTATTCATCTATACTACAGGTGTATTTTTATTTATCAATTCATGCCTTCAAGTATATAGTGTTAGTAGTACATACTTTTTATTATAATAGGATAGATTGATTTCTTTTTTAATATATTTATTTATTTTTGGCTGTGTTGGGTCTTTTTTTTTTTAACATCTTTATTGGAGTATAACTGCTTTACAGTGGTGTGTAATTTCTGCTGTATAACAAAGTGAATCAGCTAAACATATACATATATCCCCATTTCTCTTCCCTCTCACGTCCCCCTCCCACCCTCCCTATCCCACCCCTCTAGGTGGTCACAAAGCACCGAGCTGATCTCCCTGTGCTATGCGGCTGCTTCCCACTAGCTATCTCTTTTACATTTGGTAGTGTATGTATATCTGTGTCACCTCTCACTTCGTCCCAGCCTACCCTTCCCCCTCCCCGTGTCCTCAAGTCCATTCTCTACATCTGCGTCTTTATTCCTGTCCTGCCCCTAGGTTCTTCAGAACCATTCTTTTTCTTTTTTTTTTTAGATTCCATATATACGTGTTAGCATACAGTATTTGTTTTTCTCTTGTTGACTTACTTCACTCTGTATGACAGTCTCTAGGTCCATCCACCTCACACCAAATAACTCAATTTCGTTTCTTTTTATGGCTGAGTAATATTCCATTGTATATATGTGCCACATCTTCTTTATCCATTCATCTGTCAATGGACACTTAGGTTGCTTCCATGTCCTGGCTGTTGTAAATAGTAAAAATCAACGTTGTGGTATAAGAGAAACAACATGCTAACTGTTCAGTCTAGAGCTATTTATTATGTGTAGGTCACTGTCTCCTTCCTTGATTCTAGCCCTAGGGACTCATTCATCTTTCTTCTTCCTCCTTATAGCTACTACCACCTACTCTATCTCTTGCAGTTGTGCACCCAGCTAAGACTGGCTGTGGTCTGAGATAGTATTCTCTAATGTCTTTTATTTGGGCCCCACCATGTAAGAACACAAACGTTCCCCTTTTTAATATTTTACTGCCCACAGCCATAAGAGAAACAGGGAATAAGAAAAGGAACCAATAGGAAGTTTCAAAGGAAATTGCAAATCAGTTGATCACAGTCCCCATTGGGCTCACAGATATATTTTGTTTAGCCTTTTTTGTGTATTTTTAAAATTTGAACTAGTTGCCAAGACTATTTAATGTGAAAATCCATATTTAGAGCTTTAATTGAAAACTTTGATTATCTGGCCCATGTCTCCATTTCTGTTCGGCAGTAGTCAGGAGGAACTGGGTTGAAGCTTCCCCTCTTTAGGTGGGCTGTCCACTCTCCAGTTCACCACAGTCCTTAGTTGGCCTGTTTTACTTACTTATATAGCCCCTCTATATACTTTAGCTTTCGATTCCTGGCTTAAGGGATCTTAAAAGAATAAAATTCCTTTATTCATAGTTGCTTTATTCATAGTTGGTTTGTACTTCCCGACTCATAATTGAGAAGGTATTTGAAATAGTCCAAAGGGAGGCCTCCAAGATTTATGCTTTCTACTTTTTATTCTTGACTATAGGGATTACCAAAACTTTTCCAAAGGTATAATCCCCTACTTCCCTAGTGGAAGGGAATGCCTTCCCCTGAGGCATTCAAAATACCCCTAAGTCTGAAAAATAGATGTCATATTGCCTAGTGTGGAGATTTATGTCCCTGGTTGAGTTTCAACTCCTATGCCTAATTTTTTCTATATTAATTTGTAATCATTAATATCTACAGAAAATCTGCACAGTTCCATCAGAAGGCGTATGTAACCTGTATTTGCATGGCCGTAATAGTGTTTTGTTTCAAAAGGAATTTTCTTAAAGACCCATCGTGATTTTTTTAGCCCTGTAGACTGCAATATGTTTTCTTGTAGCTGTTTATCTGTGCTAAAATATTTGCTCTTTCCCTATTCCTAGGGTAGTTTTTGGCAATTGTAGTGGCATTGCAATGGTTGACTACCTCCAGAAAGCAGTACTCCTCAACCTGGGCACTATTGAATTATGCGGCTCCAGTGATCCTTATCGGAGAGAACCCCGATCTCCTCGTAAATCTCGACAGCCTTCAGGAGGTAAGAAGAAAAAAGTCCTGAGCTTTAGGATTTTCATAAATGCTGAGTTACTTCTGTGAATATAAGTACTTCCATTGGGTACATAGCTTGTCTGATTTCATCTGTTTGTATAAACTGTATCAGCCTGTCTTTTTGTTTTGTGTTATTATTAGCTTATGCTTTTGTTTTTAATATTCTAGGATTTTATTTAATATTGGGAAAGAACCACAGTTTCAGACTTCTTTAGCTAAATTATAATGACAGGAAAATTCATCCCATTATTACATAACAAAAGTTAATTTCACAGTTCTGTCCCTTTTATTGTTTAGTGTTGTGAGACCAACAGTTTATTGTTCTATTTAATTCAAAGGAATCATTTCCCATGTGAAAAAAAAATGTAGATGCAAAAGTGAATTTGAACTCTATGAAATACAGTGTTCTCTGATAGCTTTGATTCAGTGCAAGCCCAGATCCATTAAGAATTCTCTCCGTAGCATTCTTTTGTGTTTGCTAGGTAATTAGTCTTATTTTAAATGTTTTAATACGAATTCCTCATGGGACACATGTATAGTTAGCTGTTTATAATAGTACTCCTCACCTTTTTTTTTCCAAACCTCATGGCACACACAGAAAATGGCATTGGATTTCTGGCATATAGGGATATATTAATGAGGCCTCTAGCAGTAACTGGCCTCTGGGCTCCAGACTCCCCAGGACCTGCCCAGCTGGACCAGGGATTGAGGGGAACTCCATCTGGGGCAGACTTAACCTAACCCATTTGCAGAATGCCATCGGGAAGCTCTGATCTATACTTCCTAGCTCAACCTCTCTGAATTAAAATTCTTTCTGAGATTCATTTCCCAGTTGCTTTCAGGACATTATTAGCTGATACTAAATACTTCTCATAATTCATGAGAGAAGAAAAGAAAAAGGTGATGGGATGTAGACCTTACTATCATTTTGGTGATAGTTGAATATTTTTTTCTGTTTTTGTTTGTGTGATCATTTTGTCATGTGTTATCTTCAGCAGAAATTGTTGTCCCAACCATACCATTCTAGTATCTTTGTCTCCTTTTTTTTTTCCTTCTGCTTTTCATTGCTTCACTAAGGTATGCTGATTGTGACTTCTTGCATGTGCGGCGTTTCTAGCTTATATTCTGAATCTGTGAAAAAACTCCGTTCTTCTTTTTTAAGTAAGTTATTTATTCCATGTCGGTAAAGTCATGACAGTGTATTTTGTCTGTAAAATTATTTTTTCTCATTTATTTTTAGAAGAGCCTATTAAAGCATCCTATATCGAAAATAATATACTCACTATTTAAATTCATCTCATAATATGTATATAAAAACAGCTATTGAAATGTTTGTGTCACAATCCAGTTTCTTTATAAAGCGAAGGAACTAACATTTAGTGTCAGAAAGTTAAACATTGGGGCTTCCCTGGTGGCGCAGTGGTTGAGAGTCCGCCTGCCGATGCAGGGGACACAGGTTCGTGCCCCGGTCCGGGAAGATCCCACATGCCGCAGAGCAGCTGGGCCCGTGAGCCATGGCCGCTGAGCCTGCGCTTCCAGAGCCTATGCTCTGGACAGTGAGAGGCCCGCGTACCGCAAAAAAAAAAAGAAAAAAAAAAAAAAAGAGAAAGTTAAACATTGTCTTGATAGAGGAGTAGTAAAAGTTTTATTACTCCTGAAATTAATTAATTTCTTTTCTTGTTGGTACCTCATCATAGTTTACATAAAATTACTGGAAATTAAATACCTAAATTCATCCAAGGATAGAGACCAGTTCTACCGTGTGATTTAAAATTTTTTTTCTTGAATTCCATTGCATTCTACTTTATTCTGTAGTAAACCTTACAATATTATTCATTTTATTATTTGCTTCATTTTGTATTGAAGAGTTACATGTTTAGGCACAAGAGAACTTACTTGAGTTTTCATCATCGGTTTAAGATATTTACTGATGGTTGTTATGCTCACTTGAACAATATTTAGGATTATGTTTTAAATAAAAATTAAAAGAACATTATTTTAAAACATTTTAACATTTTAAGAATATTTGTGCCTTCTAAAATATTTATATTTCAAATAAAATCAAATGTAGAATAATTGGTACTAAAATTCTTTAATTGCATTGATATGAAAATGATATTTTTGCTAAAGTGTATATTTTATAATACGTTCTTGAAGTGTAGCCCAAGTATCATGAAATTGTCCTTCTATCTTTTGTAATACGTCAGTATGAATGGAGAGATTTGGTGTTTTTTTCCTACGGATAGGTGCTAATATATTTTCGTAAAGAATAAGATGGCACTCAAATTATTTTATAAGATAAAATGTTACTGTTTAAGTTTAAATATTTTATAGCTGTATAAAATATCTACAGTATTTTCATAATAAAAATTATGAAACTGTCAGAGGGACAGGTAGTGATAAAGTATTTCAACTACCTATATATATATATCTGCTGATAGTCTTAATTCTGTTAAAAGTGAAACGTGATAATATACGTCTTGGTTTGTTGGCCACTTTTTCACTCAGTGAAGGACACAAAAAGAAATTTCTATTCTGAATATAATATCTAATGATGTGAAAGTAATAGACACATGAGAAAAAGTACTTACTTAGGCTTGGAAATAGATAAATATAGAATTTAATAAAGAAGGAAATTAGATGCACAAAGCTGTATCTAGAATTTAGGAAAGATATTTTCAAAAGTTATAGAGAGGAGGCTCTAAAAATGAAGTTTTGGGCTCTACAATTGCAGTTACTGTCAAGTCGTCAATATTTTCGATAAGACAGTAAAAGAGAAATAGCCCAGTAGTACTAGTTGAAATTTCTGTCTTTGTGTTTCTGATAAGAAATGAAAGAGACTATATAAGAAATAAGGGATACAGTCAAGGATGGATAAAAATGTTGCATAGATCAGTAAGTACTGTGTTGAATTAAGGCTGAATTCTCCAAAATGAGAAATATAGCAAAATGTTTGGTTACAGTGAAAATATAGTTAAGGAAGGATTAGGACACCACTTTAAGGATGATTTGCAATGATAGTTGAAAAATAGAGTACAGAACTAAATCACTTTGTTTCTCAGCTCTCCATTAAGAATGATTTTTCTCTCTGGAAATTATGAAAAATAATAAAGAGAAATTAAAGTTTAAGCCACATTATGCAAATAAGGCAAACCAAGCAATAATGAAAAGATATCAAGAGAATTTGTAAAGAAAATTTGTAAATGGTACCCCCAATTGATGAAGGTCAAATATTTTACAAATCAGTAAATTTGATTTACAAGTCAGTCAGAATTCTAGAATGATTTGCTAAGTAGTTGATGCCTTACATGCATATTGAAAATAGAGATAATAATAGAAGTCAGCAGGAATTCACTAAAAGTAAGTTGTTCCAAAATCAGCATTACTTTTTTAATCTGGTAGCTACATTGATAGTTCATGGCAGCCTGTTGACATAATATTTCCTGAAGTTAATTGGGTATTTGATAAAGAATTCCATGATACTTTTGTGAACCAGACAGGTGGAAGTGACCTAAATACCTAGTTCAATTTGATGGTTGCAAGATTAAGTCAGGAGTCAGCAAACTACAGCCTGCGGGCCAAATCTGGCTCATGGCCCACTGCCTGTTTTTGAAGTACAGTTTTATTAGAGCAGCACCATGCTAATTCGCTTAGGTGTTGTCTGTGGCTGCTTTTGTGTTTCAATATTAGAGCTGAGTAGTTGCGACAAATTGGCCCCAAAACCCAATCTGGACCTTCACAGAAAACATTTGCCAACTCCTGGATTAAAGCATGGTACCTAGTGGGTTGGTTTGTGGCCTGATACTAATTTGATGTAGTGTGCCTCAGTTAGTGGGTATGTAATACTGAATAACATGTGATTATGCTTTGTTGAACATTTTAAATAGTTAATTAAACTTCCTGTTTAAACAATTGAAAGAGAAGGTGTGCTTATTTTTGCTGTTTAAAGGATAACTAATACATTTGATGGCAAAATAAAAACCCCAAAGGTAATTATAGGTAGAAATCATAAGCTTAAACCAGGGAAATGAAGTTTATCAGCAATAAATGTTAAGTCCTGTGTTTAGATCATAAAGATAATTACATGTATACAAAACAAAAAACTGGCTCAGGCAGTTCATGTGAACATGCTTAGAGGTTTTGTTGTTAGTTTAGGCAGATTTGTGTTAAATCTCAGCCCTCTTTTTATGTGTGTTATATTAGAGAAGATGCTACTCTGAGGCTCAGAGTCCTCAAAATGGGAGTGATCACCTCATAAAATTAGTGTAGTTATTAAGTGAAAGGGCATATGTAATGTGCCTCATCTTGTGACTGGAATATTGTTGGCGTTCAGGTGGTTGTTCTGTTACCACAGCTTAAGGTATGCCAATAATATGACATAACTGCTGAATATACTAGTGTGAGAGATACAGAAGATTTTAAGTTATCCATTTATATTGTATTTCTTCCTCTTTTTAAGGCAGGCTATAGAGAAAACAATTTGGGGCCCAAATGTACTCAAGAACTTCTGGCCAGTAAAATATCTATTACAATGACAATGAAATTGACTGTCTCTAGATGTAATTAGGTGTTTGTCACTGAATAAGATACCTGAAGCACTCAGTGCCTCGGTTTCTTCTTCTGTAAAATGAGGATAATACTGTCTACCTCATTCGCTTCAGTGAGAGCTAAATGTGTCAAGAACTTTGTAATTGTTGTTTATTACCAGCTAGCTAATTGGGTTGGGATACATTTGGGCAAAACCTAGATAACTGTATTGCTAGGAATATTGCTTGAAGGGATTCTGGCAGCAACAGAGAAAATGGGTTAGATTATATGCTATGAAATCCTTTCATATATATTCATTCAATTATTCAACAAATATTTATTGAGCACCTACCATGTGCTATGCACTGTTACAGTAATAAAACAGACAAAAACCTCTGTCCTCATAGAACTCACATTATACTGGAAAAGACAGAAGTTTTAAAAGATAGGTAATGTACAGTAAGTTGCATAATAGTGCCAAAGGGAAAAATAATTAAATGAGGGGCATTTGAAATATCAGTGACAAGGGTGTTACATTCTAAATAAAATATCTTGAGCAAAGATTTAAAGGAGACAGCTGTTTTCCATGACGATGTCTGTAGAGAGAACATTTCAAGCAGAGAAGAGCAAGTACAGTGGGGTCAGAAGCAGTGTAACTGGTGAGTTCAAGGTTACAGTGAACGGTAAGTGTGGCTGAAGTAGGGAGAGTAAGGGAGATGGGGAAGTACGTGGAAGGAGAGGAAATAAAGCCAGAGAGGATACACCATAGCCACATAATATGTACCACAGTCATATACCATAGGATCATATACATCAACCAGTCATGTGGAGCTGGACTTCGGCTTTTACCCTGAGTCAGATGGCAGACACGGAAGGGGTTTTTAGCTCACTCAATAATTTAATATCTAAATTAAATTATCACTATCACATTCTTTAATTTAGCTTCTTAAATGTTTCTTCCTAGGCTATTTTAAGAATGGGAATTATATCTCATACTACATTTTTATAGAGTTTAATAGCAGTTGACAAAATACCAAAGGCTTTAAATTTCAAAATTTACTTAGTACCAGGCTCATTGTAATACTGGACTATATAATCACTACTATTTATTTATTTACTTAATTGAGGTATGATTGACATGTAATGTTATATTAGTCTCAGGCGTACAATATGATGATTTGATATTTGTATACAGTGCAGAATGATTGCCACAGTAAGTCTAGTTAACAACCATCACCTTACGTAGTTTAAAAAAATTTTTTTCTTGTGATAAGAACTTTTAAGATCTACTCTCTTAGCAACTTTGAAATATGCAATACAGTGTTACTAACTGTGGTCATCATGGTATTCATTACATCTGCATAGCTTATTTATTTTATAACTGGATGTTTCTACCTTTTGACCCCCTTCACCCATTTCTCCTCCCATCCCCTGCCACCTCTGGCAACCATCCATCTTTTTAGATTCCACATACAAGTGAAATTATATGGTATTTGTCTTTCTCTGCCTGACTTACTTCATTTAGCATAATGCCCTCAATGTCCATCCACATTGTCACAAATGGCAAAATTTCATTCATTTTTATGGCTGAATAATATTCCATTGTATATGTATAACTCATTTTTTCATCTGTGCATCCACCAGTGGACACTTAGATTGTTTCTATATATCACTACTGTTTAAACACCTGCTATCTTAGTGTTTTATCAAGAAAATTTTATTTATATATACAGATATTTTGTCAGAGATTAATAAATGCATACCTGTAATTACATCTGTCATCTTAGAACTGTAAAGACTAGTTTTGTTATTTTTTTCCAAAATCTTTAGTGTGATGAAAGTTAAAAAGAAAAAAAAAGAAAAAACTACTTGTTGTCATTCAAAAGCTTCCTATCCAATGAAGACAAATAATATATAGTTCAAAATAAAAAACACTCCTCATAAACCCAATTCAGTACTCAGTGTTCTCTAAATGTTACTGTAAGAGCTTTCGTAGGGACTGTAGAGGTTGTGACGTCATGAATTTTACCAGAGGAATAGAAAAGCAGATACTGGTCATATGTGCACATATGTCGATATCAGACCCGACAACTTCTGAGGCCTAGTCATGCAGCCTCTTGTCTGTTGCCCAGCTATCCCAAGCTCCTGGTGTGTGTTTGTTTGTAATTTTTAAATACTTTGGAAGAATTCTTTTCATTTCTATCTCCAAGCAAATTAATTTCCATATTGTTTACTTTGCATTTTGCCATGTCTTACAGTTTTTGTCTATAGCGTAAAATACCTTGCTAGGATTTCTCCTAAGAATTGAGGCCATCCTATAAGATAGATTAGTTTTATATGATTCATATATATCTGAGAAAAGAAAGTATTTCTTTAGAGCTCTTTTTAAAATGTGATAGTATAGTTTTTAAGAGTTATAGCCCTAGAAGAAAAGTAATGTGCAGTACAGGCATACATCTGAGATATTGCAGGTTCAGTTCCAGACCACCACATTAAAGCAAATATGGCAATAGAGCGAGTCACATGTATTTTTTGGTTTTCCAGTGCGTATAAAAGTTATGTTTACACTATACAGTAGTCTGTTAAGTGTGCAGTAGCATTATGTCTAAAAAAACACAATGTACAGACCTTGATTTTAAAATACTTCATTGCTAAAAAATCTAACAAACCATTATCTGAGCTCTTAGCAGGTCATAACCTTTCTGCTGGTGTAGGGTCTTGCCTCAGTGTCGAAGGCTGATGACTGGTCGGGGCGGTAGCTGCCGAAGGCTGGGGTGGGTATGGTAACTTCTTAAAATAAGACAACAGTGACGTGTGCTGCATCGATTGGCTCTTCCTTTCACGATTTTACTCACAATCGAACCCTCTCAAACCCTGCTGCTACTTTATCAACGAAGTTTATGTAATATTCTAAATCCTTTGTTCTCATTTCAACAATCTTCCCGGCATCTTCACCAGGGGTAGATTTCATCTCAAGAAACCAGTTTCTTTGTTCATCCATAAGAAGCAACTCCTCGTCTGTTAAAGTTTTATCATGAGATTGTAGCAATTTGGTCCCATCTTTGGACTCCCTTTCTAATTCTAGTTCTCGTGCTGTTTCCACCACATCTGCAGTTACCTCCACTAAAGTCTTGAACTTCTCAAAGTCAAACATGAGGGTTGGAATCAACTTCTTCCAACTTCCTGTTAATGTTGGTATTTCAACCTCTTCCCATGAAATCACAAATGTTCTTAATGGTATCTAGAATGGTGAATCCTTTCCATATGGTTTTCAATTGACTTTGCTCAGATCCATCAGAGGAATCGCTATCTATGGCAGCTATAGCCTTACAACATGACAGAAATATATGTAAAATGTATATATATATATAATATATATCTTTTAAATATATAATATTATTTAAGAAATATAATAAGATGTGAAAGTTGAATACTCCTTGATCCATGAGCTGCAGAACGGATGTTGTGTTGGCAGCCATGAAAGCAACATTAATCTCATAGTACATTTCCATCAGAGCTTTTGGGTAACCAGGTACATTGTCAATAAGCAGTAATATTTTGAAAGGAATCTTTTTTTCTGAACAGTAGATCTCAACAGTGGGCTTAAAAGATTTAATAAGCCATGTTATAAACAGAAGTATTGTCATTCAGGCTTTGTTGTTCCATGTATAGAGCATAGGCAGAGTAGATTTAACATAATTCTTAAGGTTCCTAGGATTCTTCAGAATGGTAAATGAGCATTGGCTTCAATTTCAAGTCACCAGCTGCATAACCCCTAACAAGAGAGTCATCCTGTCCTTTGAAGCTTTGAAGCCAGGCATTAACTTCTCCTCTCTAGCTATGCACGTCCTAGATGGCATCTTCCAACAGAAGGCTGTTTCAGTTACATTGAAAATCTATTGTCTGGCATAGCCACCCTCATTAATTATCTTACTAGATCTTCTGGATAACTTGCTGCAGCTTCTACATCAGCCCTTGCTGCTTCACTCTGCCCTTTTATGTTATGGAGAGGGCTTCTTTCCTTAAACGTCATGAACCAACTTCTGCCAGCTTCAAACTTTTCTGCAGCTTCCCCACCTCTCTCAGTCTTCATAGAAATGAAGAGAGTTAGAGTCTTCCTCTGGATTAGGTTTTGGATTAAGGGAATGTGGTGGCTGATCTGATCTTCTATCCAAACCACTGAAACTTTCTCCATATCAACACATTAAGGCTGTTTCACTTTATCATGCATGTGTTCACTGGCGTAGCACGTCTAACTTCCTTCAAGAACTTTTCCTTTGCAGTCACAACTTGGCTAACTGTTTGGCTCAAGAGGCCTAGCTTTGAGCCTGTCTGGGCTTTTGACATGCCTTCCTCACCAAGCTTAATTATTTCTCATTTTGGATTTCAAGAGAAAGGGGAGCGACTGACTGACTCTTCCTTTCACTTGAACACTTAGAGGTCACTGTAGGGTTATCAGCTGATCTGCTTTCAATATTGTGTCTCAGGGAATAGGGAGGCCTTAGGAGAGGGAGAGGAATGGGGGAAGGGCGGGTCAGTGGAGCAGTCAGAACACACACATTTATCAACTGAGTTTGCTATCTTACATGAGCGTGGTTCATGGTGCCCCAAAACAATTAAAATAGTAACATCAAAGATCACTGATCACAGATCACCGTAACAAATGTAATATTTCAGACTTTATTATTATTATTATGAGAATTACTGAGATGTGACATAGAGACACGAAGTGAGCAAATGCTGTTGAAAACAATGGTGCTTGTACGCTTTCTCAGTGCCGGGTTGCCACAGCCTTCAATTTGTAAAAAAATGCAATACAAGCAAAGTGAAAAGTGCAGTAAAACAAGGTATGCTTGTATTTTAAATATTGCAAACTTGGAAGCACACAATATTTTCTTAATTATTATTCAGTGATATTTAAGGGAGGTACTTGAGATATACTTAGGGGAAACCACTTTGAGGTTTGAGTTGAGAGTCCTTATGATGTAAAAGTCACCAAATTTATTACCAAGTATTTATTCTCCTTCAAGTGAAATCCAATAAGAAGTATGTACGTCATATGCCCTCAAATTGCCGGCTTTAAACAAAATCCTGTGTTATATCTAATGTCCCTGAAAAACAGCAAATTATCTCTTTCGGAAATTGTTTCTTATTTGTTTAACTGATGACTGCTGTGTTAGTTTGAGGTGTTTTAATATCAGAATACTCCTATATTCTGATCTCAAAACTAATGAGCATAGTATCAATGCCAGCGTAGTCTGCTAACCTGCTGGGTTTTTTTTTTTAATGGACTGTCATTAAATACATACTGTAAATAGGAGGTAAAACTGCACTTACATAAACTTGTGGTGTGATTTGGTTTTGGTTTTGTTTTTTAGCAGGTCTGTGCGATATTAGTGAAGGGACTGTAGCCCCAGAAGATCGCTGCAAATCTCCAACTTCTGGTAATTTGCTTTTTATTTTATTAATAATTATAATTCTACAAAAAATACACCTTGTCAAATTTGTACAGATAAGAGTTTAAAACACACCTACAGGGAACTTCTGTGTCACTGTTTATTCTTAAAATCATAACTATTCTTTGCATTCTCATTAAGTGAAAAGAAATGCATTAGATAAAAATCTACAGCTATTACCTGTTAAGAGTCGTGTAACTGTTTACTTAGCCTCTAATATTTACACTTTTTTGGGAAAATGTATTTTACTTCTTACCATTGGATCGAAGGTTTCGTCATCTACAGTTTTTGTCTTTGCTGTCAGCATGCCTGGAGTCATCTGGTAGAATAGTGCTCTGATCCATGAATAATGTTCACCTAAATGTTATGAAAGATTTTTAACACTTATCTAATGGTGACTGTGGACAGTTAGAATAATTGTAGACTAGTTACATTTGATTTTGATCAAAGTAATATGAGATATAATTTTATAGCTGTATTAAAGTATTTGTCCTTTCTTATCCATATATTAGTCTTATGTAACCTATGTATGTATTAATATTTCAGAGTAACATTACTTTTTGAGTCCCCGTACAATTAAGAGGATCCTGAATTCACTATTCTTTTTAGTGGATTGAAACTTTGCTAAAATTTAGTAAGGTTAACTTCATAATTTTAACTGACGTATTTATTAAATCATTCTGGCTGGGAATTTTCATCAGCTTTCTACTGGAAAGATTGTTCTTAACAGAAAGTAACACTGTTCTTAGACAGATTTTGATCCTTGCATAGGTAGTTCTACATCAGAAATAATTTTAAGAATGGGAAAAATTGAGAGGTGCATTTTACTTTACTCCCTCATATTTCAGTTTACCATTCTGTTAGATCTAGGACCAATAGAACTTTTGTGAGGTTTTCTTTTTAAAATTGCATTTTCCTGATATTGCTCAAGTTAATCATTTCTTTTCTTAAAATATATGTGCCTTCTGGTTTTCTTAGTATTCAAATTTCATATTTAAGTACACTCATTACACCAATAAAACATATGGAATACAGGAATCACTCATATCATTAGCACCTAATATTAAGGCTGAACGTTGTTAGAATAACATTGAACAAGTAATATGGAGCAATACGTACTTCCCATCTCACAGGACTAGAGTTATTTCTGAATATGATTTAGAATTATAATATCTCTTAATTATTACTGTTCTTCCTCCAACCATATACAGTACTGTTCTGATGTTCTCACCTTCCCTAAAGGCCATATGAATGCACTTGTCAATATGTTAAGACTATAGGCCACATTTGATAACTTGGACATGTGATATATTGTCTTTCAATATATTAAATGACTATCAAATATGTTTTAACAAGATTCAGCCCAAATAAATTAATACTCCTTTTCACCCTAAGTCAGACTTTCAATAGGTGTATATTTCTAGCAATTTGGGATAACCCAACGAGAGGTAATTGTAGATAAATATGTAAGTACACTTCAGTATAATTATTCAATAGATAAATATAAAAAATGTATACTGGTAAAAACCCTCCAGGTTATCTGTTGTACCAGAGAAACTCAGACATCATTCAACATTTTCAAATATACTGTGCTCTTTGGTTCACATGAAAAGAAAATATAGTTTTAACGTGCAGAAATATGTATGACACCAGGCATCCTTTTAGGTGAGTTTGAAATGCAAAGTAAAAATTGTGACCTCAGAAATCATTGATAAATCACAAATTCTCATCTTTAGATATAACCTCTTAGTTTATTTAGTTTAGTCTTTGATTATGCTCTGAAAGAGCGAAGAGTTATCTGAAGAGTTATATTCATTCATGCATATCAGAAAAGACTGCTTTTACAAAAAACAGACCACACTTTGGTAGACGATAGTTGTACCTAAAACATGTTTCATATACCAGGAAATGGATGTCAGTCATGCATAAATACTAAGAACTACCATAGAAACTAAAATAAAGCTCTGGAAATAGTTGCTAGAAAACAACATTTGTGTTTATGAGAGAAGAAACGTATAAAAAGTGGGTTGGGAGTTCAACTGAATTCCTAATAAATACTAAGAAGAGGACCTCTATTATAGAAATGAAAAGTAGCCATATGCCCTTTATCAAAACCAATACGTTCATTTGAAATAATACGTATAATTGAAGAGAAACTCTTCTGAAAAGCTTTTAAAGCCCGTAATCAAGATTTGTGATCTGAACAGTTTAGCCAACTAATATCAAAGCTCTATTCAAAAATCATCCTGAGAGGGCTTCCCTGGTGGCGCAGTGGTTGAGAGTCCGCCTGCCGATGCAGGGGACACGGGTTCGTGCCCCGGTCCGGGAAGATCCCACATGCCGCGGAACGGCTGGGCCCCTGAGCCATGGCCGCTGAGCCTGCGCATCCGGAGCCTGTGCTCTGCAACGGGATAGGCCACAGCAGTGAGAGGCCCGCATACTGGAAAAAAAAAAAAAAAAAAAATCATCCTGAGAAAATCCAAGTTATGAATATAGTTTTCCCTTTCCATTTATCTTTAAATAAACCAACAATCTCTCTGAAATAGAAAATTAATTCTGCCATCCTGAATTAACATAGAAAATTATTTCTGCCATCTTCATTTGATCTTTATTTCAAAGAACTCAGAGTGCTTCACTGAGCACTTCTCTAATGTTGGGATATATTTTAGTGCTGCATCCAAAATTTATGTGTGTGTGTATGTATGTATGTATGTATGTATATGGATATATACATTTCAAATTGAAGAAAACCCAAGGCCACATACCATGAGATGGTGCCCTCAGGAGTTTCTGTGTACCCTAGAAAAAAACAAAAGCTGTATGTATTTTCTGTGTTTATTTAATCTAAATTTTAAAATGTATTCAAGTAGGAAATGCTAAAATCATTTTTGGAACTTTTTCATGAACTGTCACAGAAGTTATGACAACTGGTAGTAGACATTTTCAGTTCGGGGAAAAATACATCTGCTTCTTTTATTCACATTACGGCTTATGTTGCCTATTTTTATGTTAGAAATACCGGGCATTTTTATAATTTTATATTCGTGTTCAGATATGCTATCTTGCTATTAGTCTGATATGAAATATATCAAATAAAACAAGTGTTAATAAATATTTGTACATCCATGTGGTTATATAGTATCAGAGATGAATAATATTTTAAAGTATATGTAACATCTTCTCATAACCATTATCTTTTTAAAATCTGAATTATGTGAAAAAGGAGTGTACCCTATTTCTATTCCTGAAAATGTTGCTGAGCTCAGTGTTACTTATATGATATTTTTTGATATAGGATTTATGAGGATCTATAAATGCTATTTAGCAAAAATAACATAGTTTTAAAAGAGTAATTTTTATAAGACTGTTTTAGAAGTAATTGGATCCTGCCAATGTTGACAGGCTTTACTTGGTCTGAGAAGAGACTTCAAGGATGTTTTCCACCTGGCCACAGAAAGAAAGTACGATTTTGTGGGGGAAGGTCAAATTTTGACCTTATTTATGAAGGCTCAGTAGTTTCACTGGGTTAAAAAAGAAATCAGCATAGAAAAACCATTTTATTTACTTCGAGTTATGTTCTAGATAGTCACTTCTAGCAGAAAAGCTTTATTCGTTCAGCGAATGTTTACTTAGAGATTCCTACATGAAGAGCACTCCACTGAGTCCAAAAGAGATGCAAATATCAATCACATAGGGTCCCAGCTTCTCAATTCAGTTCAGTGGGAAAGGTCAGGTGTATGTAAACTTAAAATATAAGGCGTTAAGTGATTAACATCATAAGAGAAGTAACAAGGTGACCTTTTACAGGAATTCAAAGAAGGGGAGGTGATTTATAGCTGGAGAGATGGTGAAAATTTTAATGGGTGAGATATCATTTGAAATGTGTTATAAAGATAGGTAGTTTGACTCTAATAATAAAGTCAACTAGAATACTACTTAGGATTCCCTTTATAATAAAAAGTTTGTGTTAGAAATTAAAGAAATACAATGAAAATTAGGAACATCTTTTTAAGGAAAAAGGACTAAAATCTTAATTATAAAAATATTACATAAATGTATTGAAAGTCACAGTTGAAATAAAATATTTCTTACCTCATTAAATTTAAGTAAATATTTGAACATATCTAAAATTATAAGTATCATCCTCAGTATTTTAAAGACCTCTATGGTACTAGTAGAATTTATATATGATTTTAAAGTTTGTATCTAGAAAGCTAACTCTAAAATAAACTTTACCAGTATAGTACTTATACAGGACTCTGCTACTAGATAAACCTTATTTGGTTAACTAATATCAAGAATTTTTATGTTTTCTTTCAGAAACATTTAACTCCTTATATTTTTCTTTATCTGTTCTCTAACTTATAATATATACCAAAATTTTGCCAAATGGTTGTAACTTACGGAAAAATTATTATACATTAGGGTTAATATTTATACATACTAGAGATTGGTCGACGAAAGATAATGCACTACTGATTGCTGTTCTTACTGTAATATTATAAGAATTATTATTAACTATATACATGATATTTTCTTCTGGCCAGTAGTATGGGAACTTGTTTTAAGGGTTACCAGATTACTTTGTTTGTACTTTTCCCTGTGACAACTCAGCGTTTGTGACTGACTATGTGCCTGTTCCTTCCATTGTCTTCATTTGTGTAGGTTCTTCATCACCACACAATTCAGATGATCAACAAAAAGTGAATAATTTTATAGAAAAGGGTATAGTATCTTTATTTTACAGTATTTTCATTTAATTACATTTAATTCATGTAGTTTACTTTGAATAGATTTTGACATTTTGTATCAAAATATTATTTTCAGTGAAGATCAAAAGCAGAAAGTTTTCCAAGACGGTAGCCAGTGATATAGGTAGGAAATAGACATTTCTATTTTGTTTCTAATCCTTGCTATTTGCAATGCTAACTCAATACCAGAAAATTATCTAATGCATTGCATTTTGTATATATTAATTTGTTATTCCTATGCTAAACAATCATCTCCTGGGCTGTGTTTCTTCTAAACTCATTGGGGCAATAATTATTAAAAATCACTTAAACTGGGGTTGCAGTTCTTCCTCTGACTTAACAGTGTGAATTGTTCTATTAATTTTTATTTTTGCTTTATTTTAAAATAAAGCAGGGTTCAATTTATGCCATACGTAGTACAGTTTTATACTCCAAAGTTTTGAAATTTTTTCTTTATAGTTTTACTCGTATTTTTTCCTACCTGTCTTCTATCCTCACATTATCCAGACTCCAGATTTCAAGGAAGTGGTTCTTTAAAATATTGACTTGTAGTCTGTAATCTGTACTACCCTTGGGTTAAATGGGAATTTTCTACCACTCCTTCCCCCCAAGTAAAAATGAGTGATACTTTGAAATTAATTACTCAGTCCAAGATTTTCAAAGTTTCAAACTGGGGGATAAAATATATAATTAAACTTTAGGGACATAAACTAGGGTTTTTTAGTCATAAAAATTTGAATTTTGTCTGAGGATTTTTTTTTTTTTTTTTTTGTGGTACGCGGGCCTCTCACTGTTGTGGCCTCTCCCGTTGTGGAGCACAGGCTCCGGACGCACAGGCTCAGCGGCCATGGCTCATGGCCCTAGCCGCTCCACGGCATGTGGGATCCTCCCAGACCGGGGCACGAACCTGTGTCCCCTGCATCGGCAGGCGGACTCCCAACCACTGCGCCACCAGGGAAGCCCTGTCTGAAGATTTTCACAAGCCTGAGAAACACCATTTTACTAAAAGAGAATACATTTAATCTTTGATGTAAATCCAAAAATTTATTACACTGTTAACATATTACTTATTTCCCCCGAAACTCCCACAATTCATTGAATTGTCTTAAATTAGATGAATTTCTAGGCAGCTGGAATAGATTTACACCTTTTCAACTGATAAAGTTTAATATGTGGTAAATTTCTAAAATTCTTAGAAGTAGCATCCATATTGTTTGCATGTTGTAAATTGAACCCTGTTTAGTCATATTAACATTGGCAGACTTTTAGCACCTCTGGTCATTTTTTGAATAACGCGGTTTATTCTTGGGCAAAGGACTCTTCATTTATGGAGTATCAATTATTTATCTGTTTGTATTTGTGGTACTTTAGTGAATCATTTGGTAACATTTAAATCACTTTCATTATCTACGAGCACTACTGCATACTTCTTTTTCAACCAATTTCCTTTTTAGTATATACTCTCTTAATAGTACTTTAGAGGTTCTTTTACTGTCATGTAATGTAAAAAGTTAGAAGGGACTTTTCTACGTATAATTTATCAAAGAACTTGTAAAATTTAATTACCTAGGAATTTTACCTTGCATGAAAGTTACTTTGTACATAATTAAATTTTTCAAATAATTTATCTATTTGATTTTCGATCCTGGGGTTATGTTTGCTTTGTTAAATGTTTTGACTCACTTTCCTTTTTTTTCTGGGTTATGAATAGAATATGAAACATGGAATATCTGAGTGTGATTATTTGAAAGACTTTAATAAATTTCTTAGGATTGAGAACATTATTGGAAGGATAGTTCTTCGGTAACATAAAAAAGAAAGCAAGAATGTTACCAGCAAGTTTTTTTGTCATGCCACTTTCTGTAGTTATATTTTTTGGGAAACATTAACTTTATTCAACTTTTCAAACTTTTGTTAGCTATACAGTTATAAATAATTATTTTTCATCTCCAGAAACTACTTTTATATCTCCTATTTTATATATAATTTTAATTGTTTTCAGTTGGAATCTTGCAGTATTTTTTTGAAGTATAATTGACTTACAATATTATAATAGGTTCAGGTGTACAACATAGTGATTCAGTATTTTTATACATTACGTACCATACCAAGTTATAGTATTTGTGACTGTATTCCCTGTGCTATACATTACATCCCTGTGACTGACTTACTTTATAACTGGTAGTTTTTTAATTCCAACGTATATCCCAAGGTATATAGAAGGCAAGCTTACTTCTCAATTTTTTCTTCATTCAGATAGAGACTATGCCATTTTAGATTGTAAAGTTTTTTCAGTTTAAAAAAAAAACAAAACAAAAAAACAGTTTATCTCCCTACATTAGTGTCTAGTTTTGTAATAAGACTTAGCATAAAATATGCTACTGAAAAACACATAAAATGTCAATGAAACATTGGGAAAAAATTCATAAAATCTCCTAAAGACCTCTCTTTTTTTCTATCAATACTTAAAGCTTAATAGTATCAAATGTGCTAGGACTCCTTGAGCGTTCTGACCTCACTATGTTCCCTATCATCCAATCCCATACTTGCTCTAAAGGATCCTGAACCTCATAAAATTATCACCTTGTTCTTCCTCAATCTACAGACATTTATTGCTTTAGCTTAGGCAGTTATGTTGTGGCCTAATAAGGGAAGGCATAAGAATTAAGCCTCGCACCTCCAAGATCATCACTGGTGAAAGAACGACCTTATGTGGAAGGCTGACAGAATGTATTGGCTCTGAAGTTTTGTCCCTAAGTTTCACTTACACTTTGAAAGTAACTGCTGCTTGTGTCATATCAGAGAGGATGGGGCCAGAGGGTGTACAGGATGTCATTCTCACTTTAACAATCTGACCCAACCGTGGAAAATCAACTGTTTTTTGCTGCCTGACAGTACAGCTGAAATAGCTGAGATGGTAACAATTTTTTTAAAAATATACTTAACAATTACAATTTTCCTAGCACATTGTAACAACCATTTATAAATATTTTTTTCTTATTTAATCCACTCAGTAACCTCAGTTAGCTACTTACTGTTATTTCCCTGTTTCACAGGTGAGGACACTAAGAGTTAAAGAGCATGTAGAGTATCTATTGGTTACACAGCTAGCAAATGTCGGAGCCATGATTTATACTGAGCTTGTCCAACTCCACTGTTTGTCCTCTTCAACAATATCCTGTATCACCTCTTAAGAAGATTTACTGAAGGCTGTAAGGATTCAAAAACAAATCTGTTGTGTGATTTGAAACTAGATAATCTGGCTCTGACCCTGTTCTATCTACATGGTAACCTGGAAAAAAGGTGGCTCATGTTAAATTCTGTCCAAGCACTAGGTCATGGGGGCCATCATGGTACCCATCACACAAATATAATATACAGTGCCTGGAAGTCTACCTTTCTCAAAGAGCAGACTCAAGTGAGAGTAAATAGAGTGGACAGTAGGGTTCCTGAACCCATCTACCCAAAGCCTGGCTTCATTGTTTGTTTCCTGACCAACAGCTAACTCAGGTAAACGATACTGACAATGACTTCATTGTTCGTGCATAAGAATAGCAGCCTAAAAAGACATAACTTTAGTCTTGTGAATTTAACAGTAAAAATATAACATAGTATATAATGCAACTGCAGCATCCCTATGCATGTAATACACATATAGTGATTTGTTTTGCCTGTTCATACCTTATGAATAATTTTTGTTAGTAAAATCTTAATGGCCAACATTTCCAAAATCAATAACTTTCCTGTAGTTAGTTAGCAATTTCTGTAAATCATTTAGAAAATAAGATTGCTTATCAATTTTTTGTTCGTTATTTATATTTTATAAAATTTCAGAAATATATAAAGCTTTTTATTATTCTAAGTTTATATAACAATAGTCCTAAAATATGTATCTTTGTTAAAGTATTAAACAAATTTTTCATGATATACTTATGAATAAAATATGGTCCAGATGTTAGCATTGTTTGGTAGATCTTGAAATTACACGATTGAACTTCTCTAAAGATCATTCTATTTCATTATGAGTCTATTTCAGTCTGAAAGTAGATTTCTAGCTGGATTCCATAGTCTACAACCCTGCCCATGCCCCATTTTATTACTAATTTTCATATAGAAGGAATGATTACATGAAACTGTGAGGGGGAAATAATACTGGAGATGAAAGAATAAAGATTCAAAAGTATGGTGACTCAATTAGTGCTGTGCCGAAACAAACAGAATGATAGCTCTATTTTTTCTTAATTGGGGTGTAGTTGCTTTACAGTGCTGTGCTAGCTTCTGCTGCACAGCGAACTGAATCAGCCATACATATATATGTATCCCCTCTTTTCTGGATTTCCTTCCCATTTAGGTCATCAGAGAGCATTAAGTAGAGTTCCCTGTGCTATATAGCAGTTCTCATTAGTTATCTGTTTTATACATAGTAGTGTATATATGTCAATCCCAATCTCCCAATTCATCCCACCCCAGTAGCTCTATTTAATGGACACCTCCTAAGTTCTAGATATTATACTAGACATTTGTCATATGATATTTATTAATATAGGAAAGATAATACCTCCAGGGCCCTTTTTATGTCTCAGATTTTTGAATTAGCAGTTACTTGGGGAATAATTAATTTTCTTTCTTAGCAAAAACTGAAGTAATTTTTGAAGTCTACTTAAATGAAGATAATGTCCAAGTGCTGTTTTCATGAGTTCTCCTATATATGAGTCCCAATGATCCCTTTTTTATATTAAAGTGTTCTAACAGACTTAAATCTGTTCTGAACCATTATATTCTAAATCACTAACTTATTAAATCCTACAGTTTTAAAGCAGCTCAAGCCCCTTTATTTTTCAAGAAAAAAATTTGAGCCTATCCAAAGAAATATCCCATGATCATGACTTAGTCAAGATCAGAATCCCGGTCTGTTCACTATACACTGTAGCATGTCACTGTTCTCATAGTGTATGGTCTCTTCTTGTGCTGTCTTCCCAATTCTTTTATATTTACAATTCAAAAAATAAGTTCTCAGAGGTTTATTTGGAGTTTGCCATATGAATTTGAAAAGGTCTGTATGAAATTAAATAGAATTTTAAGTTTTAAAATTATTCTAATTCATTATAAAACAAGTTAGTACTG